ATGTGATAGGTAGGGTTTTAGTTGGGGGGGTGTGGTAGGGGAGGACGGGAGGGAGAGAGAGAGAGAGAGAGAGAGAGAGAGAGAGAGAGAGAGAGAGACCATCATAAACATCTGACAACAAAAACAAGAGACCTAAAAATTATCTTCATAAAGGATATGTGATAGGTAGGGTTTTAGTTGGGGGGGTGTGGTAGGGGAGGACGGGAGGGAGATGTAAAACAATCTTGTTTCTAATTCAAATAAAAAAAATCTGAAAAGAAAAAAAATTATCTTCATAATATCACCATTCAAGGCAGACAGGAAAGCCTGCCTTTCTGTTGAATATGTGCACCTCAACTCTGTTCTTCACCCCCCTTACTCTTACACACCTGTAATCACAGTAGCTGCCTCTTGTTTCTTCACACCTGCAGACCCTTGTCTTTGCTCCAGAAATGTCACCAAATGTGGCTTAGAGAGAACAAGACCTGTTTGTATGAAAGGGAACAAGATTAAGTGTTTTTCTACTGGGAATTCACATATTCCCTTCCAGGACACTGTTTATAAGAAAAGAGATGATGTAATAAATGACTACAATCAGATCCTTAAATGTTTTCTGACAGGACAACTACAGTACAGAAAGGAATTTACAACATCCAGATTCTGAGTTTCATTTAAATGGAAAAACAGTAAAACTGAATTGTGAAACATTTTCATTAATATGTAAGGTACATGCCCATTGCGATTGAGTTTCTATTGTTTCCACTAGTGTGAAGGATGCATTCGTCCAACACAGACAGGTTAAACACACAAAAAAGAAAGCAATGTTTCTTAGCCAAACATATTCCCTAATTTTTCTTTAAAACCAAAACTATGGGGCTGGAGAGATGGCTCAGAGGTTAAGAGCACTGGCTGCTCTTCTAAAGGTCATGAGTTCAATTCCCAGCACCCACATGGTGGCACACAACCATCTTTAATGAGATCTGGTGCCCTCCTCTGGCCTGCAGGCATACATGGAGGCAGAATGTTGTATACATAATAAATAAATAAAAAATTTCTCCAGCACTAAAACAAAAAACAAAACCAACCAAACAAAAACCAGGAAGAAAGTGAGCAGAGCAAACCTGGCTTGTTTGTTTGTTTGTTTGTTTAAAAAACAAAAAACAAAAAACTATGAGACACTTTGGTGGAAAGCACAAGCTCCCATGAGATAATGTATAGTGTGAGGAAGTCACATAGCGACATAAGTGAAATAAGAATTCACAGTGGATGAGATCCTCACCAAGGAAATCAAGGTTGCTGTAATTCTCCAACATCACATCCCTGTACAGATTCCACTGAGCAGGCTCCAGATATTCCCTTTCTTCTGGAGAGAAATCAATGGCCACATCCCGGAAGGACAGCATTTCCTGAAACAAAGGTCAATGAATGAGACCTCACTTTTAAATAATTCAAGCCATTAATAACAGGCATTTGGGGGCTAGTTCTCTGTCAATGTGCCACAAGTGAGGGTCTTTTGAGAAGAAGCAACTTCAATTGACATTGGGCATTCCATAAGAATGTCCTGTATGCAACCCTATAGGAGGCTGCTCTTAATCAGTCATTAATATCTGCTAACTCAGTTCACTGGGGAAGGTGCAACCCTGGGCACCTTAGATGGTCTTAGATGGTAAATGGAAGCAGGATGAGCAAGCCATGGAAAGCAAGCCAGTAAGCAGTGTTCTTTCATGGCCTATGCTACAGGTTCCTGCCTTGACTGCCCTCAGTGACAGACTGTTACCTGAAGCTATAAGCTGAAATACAACCATTCTTCTCTGAGTTGCTTTGGTCACAGTCTTTATCAATGTTTTAAAAAAGCCCTCAACATGGGTACCTTGTACTTGTTTACACAACTCTATATTTTGCCTAGGATAAAAAGAGCACTAGGCATGAAAGGCATGCTTCTAACAAGGCGAGTCACACTCCTCAGATATGGTCATATGATCTCACACTGGACCCATCAAGGAAAGAGAAGGCAGAAGATCCTGTAAGTCCATCGTGGAAACTTAAGACAGATGAAAGGTAAGATGAATGTTTCCATAGAAAAACATTCATTTAGTACCACATGCTTGTTTTACATAACACACACACACACACACACACACACACACACACACACATATATATATATATATTTCCCACAGGAGAACTTCTCAGAGAGAAGACACTTCTCCACCTTTAACATACACAATGGTGAATATGAAATACATATGAATATGAAATGTAGTTTCTGATGTAGCAGCTCTGGGCTGAGGTCTGGATTTTTTAATTTGTACAGGGTTCAGTACCAATGCTAATGTACTGACCTGTCCCGACCTGACCTGTACTGGCCCTTGACATACATAAGTGCGGCACACACCAATCATTAATAATTGCTTTAACTTAACACATTTTTGCAATGTAACGACTCATTAAAATTGGAATCTTACAAAGAACATGATAGACCATATGCAATGTATTTATTGAAAAAAATGGAATGTGTAACAAAACTTTCTGCCAACCACTTGAATTCTGCCCGCCGCCACATTAGGGCTCCAAGTAACACACAGAGACTTATATTAGGTACAATGCTGCTGGCCAATGACTAGGATTTCTTTCTCTTTTTTTTGTAATTTTTTTAATCAGTTCAAATTAGGAACAAGCTTGCTTCACATGTCAATCCCTTCTCCCTCTCCCTCCCCTTCCCCCAACCCTCCCCCCAACCTTCCACCTGCCCCCCCAACCCCCTCCACCCTACACTCCCCATGCTGGGTAGGGCCCTCAAGAGATTTCTTAATCTATATATTTTAATAAAGACATATCTTATCAGATGCCAGAAGCAGGCATCTTCTCTTGCTGGGATCACATGGTGGCTCCTCTGAGAGGAGGAGGAAGAAGAGAGCAATTTCCTGCTTGTCCCTGCTTATATTCTGAGTCTGCCTGCTATGTCACTTCCTGCCTGGATCACAAGACTTCTTTTTACTACATATCCCAGAATCCTCCTTCTCTCCTAGTCCCACCTAACTTGCTTTCCTATTGGCCAATAGTACTTTATTTATCAACCAATAAGACAAATATATACACAGAAGGACTTCCCCCATCACCTCCTCTTTTCTGTCTAAATAAAAAGAAGGGTTTTAACATTAACATAGTAAAATATATAACAAAACAGTTATCAAGTAAGAACTATACTTCCAATATTTAGTCCATAAACATTTAGCAATATTTTAAAGAAAATATTCTATCATCTATTTTATCTTTGTGAGTCTAAAGTCTTACATGTACCTTATCTTTTGTAATAACTAAAGAAAACTATAATCGTAACTATCTGTCTTCAACTCCATCAAATACCACAGAAGCATAATATATAACTCAAGATCTGACAGAGACATCTCGCTAGCTGAACAGTCACCCAAAGTTCCTCTGTAACGTTGGGGCATCCATCTTCAGCCTATAGGTCACAGTGTGTCTGGCAGACTTTTCCATGAAGCAGGAACCCTTCAGGACTGTCTTGTTTTGCAAGTTCAGCAGCCACTTTCCTGTGGGTCCGGCATGTTCAGTTTATCAGCAATAAACAGTCCAAGCAAGAGCAGTTTCTTGCAAAAATGGCTAATCTTGCCATGTTGAAAGCAAACTCCATAATGAGCTTCTTTGATGGCCATCTTCCTCTCAGATGTAATTGGTGTGCCAGGAGCAGTTGTGTCTCCAAAGAAAAACCCTAAACCATTTAAATGCCACATATTCTGTAGGTCTTTGAAAGGTTTGAAGAATATTTATCCATCTCAAATACATCTCTGTATATCTAGAAAGCCTCACTAACCTAATTATAAGTTCTGGCTATTATACGTGGCTATATAATCTGTATTTAATTATGCATTATATTTTAAAAGATCACTATAAACACAATACCTAAGCAAGGGGGGAAATGCATATCACAAAATTGACCTTAAAGTTATATCATTAATGAAAATCAATATCAATGCAAAGTATTCATTTCTATATCCTATTCCCTCTTTCCTTTAAAAAGAGATTGACTGTGATCATTACCATTTATAACCAACCCCATTTAAATGAAAACAAACATTTATTTTTTATTTTTTATTTAAATGTTTTAATCACTACTCAGATTTACATATCTATCTCCCCCATTCCCTTGCCCTCCATCCTCTCAAGTTTCCCACCCATCAACCCCCCCAACCCATCCACCAACTCATCCCCAGGAATAATGAGGCCCTCCACCAGGGACCTTCACAGTCTGTCATATCATATGGGGAAGGGCCTACATTCCCCTTGCTGTATCTGGGCTGCAATAGTATCTCTCCATAGGGAATGGGCCACCAAAGTCCATTTGTGCTCTAGGGTTAAAGACTGGCTCCACTGTTGGAGGTCCCATAGACTGTCTTGGCCTCCTAGCTGGCACCCACATTCAGAGGGCTTGGTTTGGTCCAATGCTGTTTCCCCAACTTTATGACTAGGGTCTTCATGATCTCACTAGGTCAGGTCAACTGTTTCTGCAGCACCATCTTGGCTCCTTTGCTCATCCCTCCTCCCTCTCCACAACTGGATTCCAGGAGTATGGTTCAGTGCTTAGCTGTGGGTGCCTGTTTCTGCTTCAAACAGCTACTGGATGAGAGATCTAGGAATGGTAACCTAGGTATTCATCAATCTCATTATAGGGGAAGGTCATCAATGGCATCTTTTCCACCACTGCTTGGATTCTTAGTTGGGGTCATCCCTGTGGAACCCCTTACATTTCCCCTGTACCAGACCTCTCTAAAAACCTATACTGTCTCTCTCTGTCAAGGCATCTCCTTTCTTGCCCTCCTCTCTTACTCCCGTCTCAGTCTTCTTGTTCTCCCCCCTTCTTCCCTTCCCACCTCCTTCCTCTCCACCCCTCGTGATCCCACTTTGTTCAAGGGTTCTTGTCCTCCTCCCCTTCTTTGAGGGACTATGGAATCTTCTCTAGGGGTCCTCTTTGTTTCCTAGCTCCTCTGGTAGTGTGGATTGTAGGCTGGTAATCCTTTACTCTATGTCTAAAAATCATAAATGAGTGAGTACATATCATTTTTATCTTTTTTGTGACTGGGTTACCTCACTCAAGATGGTTTCTTCTAGTTCCATTCATTTGCCTTCAAATTTCAAGATTCCATTTTTTTTTTCCTTTCTGCTGAGTAGTACTCCATTGTGTATATATACCACATTTTCTGTATCCATTCTTCAGTGTAGGGGCATCTAGGTTGCTTCCAGGTTCTGGCTATTACAAATAATGCTGCTATGAACATATGACCTTATTGTGTGAATGTGAATTCTTTGGGTATATGCCCAAGAGAGGAATTGCTGCATCTTGAAGTAGGTTGATTCCCATTTTCCAGAGAAACCTGCCATACTGATTTCCAAAGTGGTTGTACAAGTTTGCACTCCCACCAGCAATGGAGGAGTGTTCCTCTTTCTCCACATCCTCTCCAGCATAGACTATCATTGGTGTTACTGATTTTAGCCATTCTGATAGTATGATGGTATCCCTGAGTGGTTTTGAGCTGCATTTCCCTGACGGCTAAGAATGTTGAGCACTTTCTCAAGTGTCTTTCAGCCATTTTAGACTCCTCTGTTGAAAACTCTCTATTTAGTTCTGCACTCCACTTCTTAATTGCATTGTTTGGTGTTTTGGTGCTAGCTTCTTAAATTCTTTGTATATTGTGGTGATCAGCCCTCTGTCAGATGTGGGGTTGTGAATATCTTTTCCCATTCTGTGGCTTGGTGTTTTGTCTTGCTCACTGTGTCCTTTGCCTTACAGAAGCTTCTCAGTTTCAGGAGGTCCCATTTATTAATTATTGATCTCAATGTTTGTGCTACTGGTGTTATGTTTAGAAAGTGGTCACCTGTACCAATTTGTTCCAGGGTACCAGCTACCTTCTTTTATAGGAGGTCCAGAGTGGCTGAATTTATATTGAGATCTTTGATCCATTTGGACTTAAGTTTTGTGCATGGCAACAGATAGGGAACTATCTGCAATCTTCTACATGTTCGAATCCAGTTATGCCAACACCATTTGTTGAAGATTCTTTCTTTTTTCCACTGAATAATTTTAGCTTCTATGTCAAAATCAGGTGTTCGTAGGTGTGTTGGTTAATAATAGGGTTTTCAGTTCGGTTCCATTGTCAACCTGTCTATTTTTGTGCCAATACCAATCAAGCTGTTTTCAGGACTATGACTCTATAATAAAGCTTGAAGTCCAGGATGGTGATGCCTCTGGAAGTTCCTTTATTGTACAGGATTCTTTTGGCTATCCTAGGATTTTTGTTTTTCCATATGAAGTTCAGTACTATTCTTTCAAGGTGTGTGAAGAATTGTGTTGGGATTTTGATGGGAATTGCATTGAATCTGTAGATTGAACCAACTTTTTGTTTCATTGAGTCTTTGTAGTGTTTTCATCATCTCAGCTGTTTTGGAAGTAGCATCAGTTGGGCCACTGCTTCAGGGTGTCTTGCTTGATCAAACTATATTTGTCTGGAAGGAATCCATAGCTTTCCATTTTCTGTGGAAACACAAGCAAAAACTCCTTTCCCAAGTAACCTGTCCTTACATTTAAATTTAGAAGTCAAAGCATTTTTAAAATATATAAGTTGGATTAATTTAGCAGCACTTATAGCCAAATATATTTCAGCAGCCGCAGCTCTTTCCTGGGCAATCAAACAATTTAAAGATATCAATATAGCATATAGTATCCAGACTTTCTGTGTATTTTCCATCTTTACGTGGCTTTTTCATTACTCTATTTCTTCTACTTTTTTCTTCTTTTTTCCTGAGGCAGAGTTTCTCTGTGGAAATCCGCCTACCTGTGCTTTCTTCAGCTAATCCTACTGGAGTGTGCCACTGCCACTGGCTTCTGTTTCTTTCTTTCTTTTAACTACTTTAACCTGTTTCTTTTCTCTCACAAGCCTACATATAGTTTTAAATACACTATAAACCTTTAGAGGTTTTTCTTCATCTGAATATGTCTTTAGGGTAAATTTTACCTTTTTGTGCCCACACAGTGTTTTATCTGCTAAAATGAAAGCAGTGGCTGCTTTAGCCACTGTCTTTCCAAGATGGTGGGGGTATGTTTATCGACAGCACTGAGAGCATGCTTACTACCTTGGTCTATGTTGCCATCAAGGAGCACACTGCCGGCTTGGAGATGTGGTCACTGCCACTGCCACCTGCTTGTACACATCATTGAATTGTTAGCAGGGCCTCTAAAGAGCCTTATGGGTTTTGCCTCTTATGCTTGAAGGGACCAGCTCCCCTTTCGGCAGTCATAACAGCCAAACATGTGCTTGTCTGACCTTGTCCTAGACACTAGAAGGCTGATGCCTGCCTCGTGACAAGGAACCAATCCGAAGTTAGCTGGTAGTTTACGGACAAGCACACATCAATGACTCAGAGCATAGCAACCACCCTGGGAGGGCCTATGGGCCATAACAACCAGTTGGCCAATCAACACAGGGCAAACCCTCTAAGGCTGAAGGCACACCAATAGTGAGCCTGTACGTACCCCTAGACACTCCCCTTACGCTGCCCTACAAGATCTGTACGAAGCGGTTTGAGCTGTCTTTGCGAGCCATCCGCCACGGCGGGTGGGTGAAAGACCCAAACTAACATGGGGTTAGCTCGTTAAATTACAATAAAGCCTCATGCAGTTTGCATCAAGCTCTTGAATCTGCCTGGTGATTGGGGTGACTGAGGTCGTGGCCTGGGACCCTGGATAACTGAGTTTTCCGGGGGTCTAACATGCCGAGTCAGGAAGCCTCTCTTAAAGGAGCTGCTCAAGTCTCTGCATGTCTCTAGCAAAACAGAGACAACACGAGAAAATGCTGCTACCAAGAAGTGCTTGTCTCTGTTCTTTTGCTTCTAAAATCCCTTTTTAAGCTGTTGTGAAGTTTTTATGTGGAAGTTCGTAAAACAATGTCCTGACACCATTTTGTAATGATAACTCTTTCTGACAAGCCGCCTAAGCCCTGCTGCCACATGGGCGGCCAAAATAACACACAGAGACTTATATTAGGTACAATGCTGCTGGCCAATGACTAGGCTTTCTTATCTGCTAGATCAGTCTTGATTATCAACCATAACTATCAATCTATATATTTATAAGACTTATAGAGGATGCTGGCCTTGCGTCCTGTCTTCCTGGCAGTCACATGGTGACTCCTGTCTTTACTACATTTCCCAGAATCCTCCTAGACCCCTAGTCCCACCTATATTGCTCCCCTATTGGCCAACCGTGCTTCATTCAACAACCAATAAGATAAACATCCACAGAAGGACATCCACCATCAGGAATGAGCAATTAGAATTTTAGCTTCAACTTAAAAGTCACATGCTTTGCCCTGTATGACAGAAGGTCTATATGTATCTGGAATTTAAATAATCAGTATACTGTTACTAAATCTTATCACAGTAGTAAGCGGTGGATATCCCACAGACAGTTGGGACTCACATTCTCATCCACGGACTTATTTTTAATGTAGTTACCACAAAGGAAAGGACAATGAAATGCAGGATTTAAACAGCTGGCTAGTCAATTTGACACATACTTTTCAACTCAAAATACGTCACTGCCTTTGAAAATAATTTTGGATGGATGGACTCAATGACAGAAACTTCCATGACTCCAAAAGACAGAGGAACGAAAACCTCTGCTTCTCAAGTTTATTCTGTTTGGCTTCTATTTAATTATGTCCAAATATCCTCTGTAATTTCTCTCGGTGATCTCTTACATAACAAGACCAAAAACTCAATGCCATCCAACGTACTTTCCCTTCAGAGTTTTCCAAGAATGACATGTCTAACACTGCAAGATTAGTGCATGAGTCTGTAAAGACCAGTAACTCCTTCCTTCATACCATCACTTACACAAACATTAAGCATTCAATAAAAAGATCCTGGACTAGGCAGGACTGGACACTATAGAGAACTAAACTCCTCCCCATGGAAGAGTAATAAACAGAACTTTGCTTTGCTGGTTAGATGACACAAGGCCCCATGTGAGTGACAGTGGAGGAGGCAGCTGTCATTCCGCACATGCAGAGTGGGGTTCTACTATGGGTAACAGTAGAGAAGCATTGCACAGATGCTTTCACCTCTGGTCTAAGGGAGGAGAAGGCATCCAAGGGGCAGAGAAGAATGTAAACCCCCATGAGCTGTGTCTGTCAAGTCCAGAGAGAGAATGAGGTCTGCTTAGTTCACATTACACGAACACCTAAAGGTCTGTGAGTTCTTCCTCATCCTGCTTACCTGACACAAAAGCCTGGCACTCTAAACAAGGTGAGCTTTTTCACCTGCCCCCAGGGCCCCTGCTGAGGGATCGGCTCAACAAGTCAAGGCCAGCTCAAGGCATGTTCACACAGCACACATCCTGCCTTTCTTGAAAGTAATCAACCATAGCTTAGGGATGGAAGACCCTTCAAAGGCTTAAGCACCCCAGCATTCAAAGCAAAGCTGGGCACCTGCTACCCCAGTCCCTGCTCCGCTTTGCAATGGGTCCTTCTCTCTGTGTGTGTCTGTTCCCTCACCCCTGGTCGTCAAAGCTTTTCTTTACCAGCTGATTCTGGCAAACTTGTCTGCAGTGTTCCAGAATTTCCCAGCTGCAAACTGTTATGTCTCAGATTTTTGTTTCCCTTTTAATTCATCAACTGGCTGGAAACATAACAAAACAAAAAACGAAGACATTCAAGGCCCCAAGATTATAACTAGGCCTGCTATGGAAAACCCGCCTACTCTGGGTGCACCAAGAAAACCGTCAACATTCATCTGAGAGTGGGTCAGCTAGTGAGAGAATGCATCCCCAGCCAAGCTCCCAGCTGACCCATCAAGCCCGGGAATCCAGAGCCCTATACCAAACACCACTCCTGCGTTCCCAGGCAGCTCTCCTGTCCCAGAAGCCCATGATAGACTTGGGCAGTGTCCTAACAAAAGCATCACTTGGCAGCATCAGACACGCCCTCTCCCCAGCCCTGGCCTGAATCCTTCTGGACCAGCACATAAGGTCAGCACAGCACCTCTCCTGTCTCAGGAGCCCAAGGCGGACTGGGGCTGCACATCCTAAGGAAACCGTCACTCAGGGCACAGTCCCATCGCCCTCTCCCAGTCCTGACCTGCAACCTTCCAAGTCCCAGCCAGTTCAGCCTAGCACCTCCCAGGCAGCTCCTCCCCCCCCTCCCCCGCCAGGTCCGCTCCCTACAAGACGGAGCCCGCACCCCGCACAGAGCCTCAGGTTGCGCTGCACCCTGGACCAACCTCCAAGTCAGAGACGCAGCAGGAAACGCAGCGGTGCAGGACTCGCGCCCAACTTTGGGGAAAGAGCACACTTGCAGGCAGAATGGACAAAAACTGTTTCCGGAGCGGGACCCTGCGGCATCACAATGGCCGGACTACATTTCCCACAAGCCTGAGCGAAGGAGTTCCGGAAACCCAGGCGTGACGGTTTCTTCAGTTCCTGAACTTGTCCAGGTGAACCCGCGTTATGGGAGGGAGAAGCTGGGTTTGCAAACAAGACAGCCATGCGCAGTGAGGCTGGTGTTCAACTTCGGATCCACAACACGAGATGGGTGGATGTGAGTGGAGCCTCGGACAGAAATGTTAGGCTTGCTGGTCAGTCCTGGTTCATATGTTCTGATTCCAATCTTCCTACATCCTAAAAAAATATCACGTTGACTCAGTTTTACTTTGAAATAAGGAAGCAAGACGCTAATGTTAAAATGAGAATTTCTTTATCTTCCTTCCTTCCTTCCTTCCTTCCTTCCTTCCTTCCTTCCTTCCTCTAACTCCTCCTCCTTTTTTAGCTTTGTCTTGTTTTTAAACGAGACAGGGTTTCTTGGAATTTGCTCAATAGCTCAGACCACGGTGACCTCCAACTCGGAGATCCGCCTGCCTCGGCCTTCTGAGTGCTGGTTTTAAAGGCGTGTGCCACCACCGCGAATTTCTTTTAAAGATCATTTTTGAAACCCATCTTGGTTTGCAACCAGGTGCTTATTGGTTACCGACAGAAGGACACCGGGTCCAAGGCTGAATGGACAATTTATACCGACCTTGTACCTAAAGGAAAAGTAGAAAAACAGGTAAGGAGCTATCTTGTGGTGAAGCCCTTGTGTATAATGGAGGCTTTGGCGAAGCACCACACACAAATTATACCTCTTCTCCTATACTGATACCCTGTGTGAGTCACACATGGGTGAGATTCCAGAATGGCTAAAACCGTATTTCTGTGAACACTGGAACCCATACAGCACAGGAATTGGGCCAAGGACACACAGATGGTTTTAATAATTGAACAAAGTTAAAAGTCCATCTCTCTGAAGTTTATTTGCACAAAATTCCCAGAATCCATTCCAGGATCTGTCCATACATATACCCCTTGTCTACAATTACATCTATTAGTCCAGGTAAGAAATTTAGTTTTTGTAAAAGTGGTACCAGAACTTCACTAACCCAACTTTTTCCCTAAACTTTATTGACTATTCACCACTAGGTGTGCAATGAGTTCCTGCTCACCTCCCCTGCTCCTCTCCAAAGTGGAGACACATGGCTCCTGGGAGCACACTGGTGTGTGTAATTACTCCTGGCCCATCATTAGTTATTAAATTCCCTATGCAGGACTTTGATCTGTCTTCAGTTTCTTCTCTCTTCTGATCCTCAAGTTGTTCTGTGTAACAGTATTTTGAAAGCCACTAGCGTTTGCCTCAAACTTTCTTCCCCCAATTTAGGAACTAGAAATGATTCTTCCTTGAATGTAAAGCTATCAGAAATATCTTCATGGGAATATTATTTCTTAGCATGGTGAGGCTTCTGCGCGCGCGTGTGTGTGTGTGTGTGTGTGTGTACTTCAAGCTGAATTCTCAAGCATTATTTACAGTTATTAAGACCACATTGACAATTTTATCTTTAACACCTCTAAAACATTTTTTTTCTGATTTCTAGATTGTTAGTTTCCTCCATTGCAGCATTGTGAATAACATGCTCTTTGGCAAGAATCACTTTAAACTCCCAGATTTGGGGGCTGGATAGATAGCTCAGTGGAGTAGTCAAGAGCACTTACTGCTCTTGTAGAAGATTAGGGTTCACTTACCAACACACACACACACACCTGTCAGTTCACAAGGTCCTGTAATTCCACTTTCAGAAGATCTAACTCCCTCTTGTAACATATGTAGGCGGAGGGTTTTTATTTTGCCTACAATTGACTCATGTACATAGTGAAATACATATGTACACATACCAATAAAAGAAAAAAATATTTTTGTAATGTCAAGTTTGAATATTAGAAAAAGAATCAGTGCTTGAAGTATATTGTGTGTATGATTTATCAAGTATCTGCTCATGACTATATAAAAAGCTATTTCCGTTTATCAGTGTTCTGCACAATCCAGTGAAATCGACTCCATACTAGTGCAGTTCTCAAAGCCCCATGCCCACTACACACTGAGGCTGTACCACTTCTCTGTGTGTGTATACACACACACATTTTATGTATATATACATACATAGGTACATACATATTTCAGTATGCTTTATTGCTGCATCCCTCACAGGGAGGTACATGACCTGATTTCCTGACTTTGTATAGTTTTGTACCTTCTCTAAAGACATACTGAACTAGTTTAAGATAAGGCAAACAGTGACTCCTTTAAAAAAGTTGATCAATGGACTTCATTGGATGGTGTAATACCATCCAAGTATTTCCCCAGCTCTGCTTGACAAAAACAAAGATTTTACTATCCATTTATGCATGTGGGGAATATTTCTTTCTTTCTTTCTTTTTTTTTTTTGGTTTTTGGTTTTTGGTTTTTCGAGACAGGGTTTCTCTGTGTAGCTTTGGAGTCTATCCTGGCACTCACTCTGGAGACCAGGCTGGCCTCGAACTCAGAGAGATCCGCCTGCCTCTGCCTCCTGAGTGCTGGGATTAAAGGTGTGCGCCACCAACGTCCGGCTTGGGAATATTTCTTTTTCACCAAGAACGTGTGCCTTCTGGCTGGCCACCTTCTGCTCATTTCTGTGGTTATTCTTTTCTCAATTCCAAACCATCTGCCTATGCTTCACATGCTGATAAAGCTGGGCCTCTCTCCGAGTCAGGATCATATGGGTTTCTCATTAGCATGTGCAGCTTGGGAACACTCTAAGTCAAAGAAATAAAAGAAGATTTCATAGTCACAAGAGCCACCTCACTCCACTGTTCCACAGAGGCCATTAAGTGGGAATTAGCAAGTACATTTAATCACTCACCATTATACTAGAAACTATGAGAGCATAAATATGCTGGCTCAAATCATATACATCCATGCAAAGGAGGCATGTTCCTTCCTGTTCATTGCCTTAGTCTCTGGGTTAGTTTCCTTCTCTTCATAGAACACCTCGACAGAAAGTACCTTGGTGGTGGAAAGCAATTATTTGACTTACAGGTTATGGACCACTTCCAGGTTGGGTTTTGTAGTTGGTGCAGGGTAATTATCTGGGAAGAGGTACCTCAAATGAGAAGCTGACTCTGTCTAGGGCAAACCTGTAGGGCATGTCCTCTAGTAATGATTGATTGACACAAATCAGAGTAATTAGACTGTACTGAAAACATCTTTTTAGCTATCCACACACATTCCAAATTGTAAAGCTGGGAATGAAAACCACAGCCTCCATTCTCCTTTATTTATGAGATGGCCACTGGCCAGGGCATACTCAGCTTGGAGAATACTAAGAGCCCAGAGAGCAGGTTGAGGATGGGACCCCAATGGCAGAGTTAACTGTGGAGCTCACTATGTGTGGGATACTCTTCACAGGCCACCACAGTTTTGTATGGGTAAGTGTTTGATGTTCAGGCCAGTCTCCTTATTATGGACTGCCTATGGGGAAGGGCAGAAGACATGCCACCAGGGTCTCATTTCCTTTGAGCTTTAGCCAACACAATTAAAGGCAAGAAGTTCGGGGGCACCTGAGATTGGCAAAGTCTAATTTACATGTGGAAGAAAAACAAATTTCTAGCATAGAGTCAGGCAAACTGTGACTCATTAAAAAACAAAAGTGCTGCAAATTGAAACTAATCCCATAACTGGGAGGTGGAGTCTAATGTCCTCCCCATTAATGAAAGCTGTTGCTGAACAGCTGCCTAGACCAGCAGAAAGGACAGAGCACAACTCATAAGAACTCTTGCATCTCCTATGTTCCACAGAGGTGTTTGTGAGAGAATACATACAAACCTGACTTCCAGGAGATTGTGAGAAGCCAAAGCTAGCTGCAAAGACAGGGACAGATTCCTGATGAGCCTTCAGTCAGTAGTAACTCTCCATTACAAACCTGGATAACTAACATATACAGGACAAATTGCCAAAAAAAAAAAAACAAAAAACAACAACAAAAAACAAAACACACCCCCAAACAAACAACAACAACAACAACAACAACAACAAAAACAAACCAGAAACATGATGCAGTTGCCAACTCACCAGTCTCTCTCCAGGCTAAGTGAGATAGGAAAGAATCATTAACCTTGTAAGTCAGTACATTTTCACTACTTTGACTCAGAGAATATCATTGGAACACTAAGACATGCGAAGCCATAGGTAATGTTGAGACAGAATGTTTCAAAATAAGCAACATGTGCTTCATTCTGCATGCTAGATGTCTAAATTTGAATGTCAATTTTAAATAAGCAGCAACAGTCATTGCTTGTTCTTACTGAAATGTCAGGTGCAGTTTCTCCTGTAAATAGCTGGGCTTCATACTATCATCTGTCTTTAAATCTAGCTACCTCTACAAAGAGAACAATTGAATCCAGTCTTTGAAAGAGTCTGCCACACAATTTGATACATACTTTTCAACTTAAATCACACCACTGCACTTGCTACAACTATGTATGGGCTGACTGACAAAAACATAACTGTAACGGAGAAAATGATGCACATGTACATATCTTATGTACATTGCTTACATATCTTTTTCCTTCTACTCAAATCTGTTTAAAAGTATCTTCTGTCAGCTGGAGAGATGGTTCAGAAGGTTAAGAGCACTGGCTGCTCTTCCCGAGGTCCTGAGTTCAATTCCCAGCAACCACATGGTGGCTCACAACCATCCATAATGAGATTTGGTGCCCTTTTCTGGCCTGTAGGCATACATGTAGACAGAGCACTGTATACATAATAAATAAATCTTTTAAAAAATATCTTCTATATATTTTCTATGGCCTCTAGCCTGTGTCACACAGACTACTAGGAACCGAATGTCAACACCCAGCACACCTTCCCTTCAAAGTTTTCCTAGAACATGTCTAACATAACAAGTTGTGAAACAACAATACCACCTGTAGTTGGTGGGATTGAAAACTGATGGAGCCACTCCAGAAACCACGTGAAAAACTCTAAAAGGCTAAAACTAAAGCTACTACATGGCCCAGCTACACCACTTCCTGGCATGTGATGAAAGGACTTGGCAGCATCTTCCAGAGACACAAGCTCAGTCATGTTCATTGTTGCTCTATTCACAACAGCTAGAGGATGGAAACAACTCGAGTGTCATTCAATGGATGGATAATAAAAATGTGGTACATATACTCTATGGAATACTGTTCAGTTGTAGAGAAAAAAGAAATTTGTGGGTAAAGAGAAATAGGAAAGACCATATTGAGTAAGGTAATCCATACCTAGAAACACCCTCCCAGGGCTATCTTAGACTCTCTACTCTTCTTTTCTGGTATATGGAGCCAGCTGTCCTGTCTCAGAAAGGCAGGCAGGACTTGGGCAAGCCTGGTCTTAAAGAAACATTCACCCACCTCCCTCACTGTTTGCATTGCCCTCTCTCCAGCTCTGACCTGGCATCCTGAGGCTTTGTCCCAGCCTACATCAGCATAGCACTCCACAAAAGAGAGGATGAGAGAGGCTTGCCCTCTGTTACAGCTTGGAAGCCAAAAGGAGATGGTAAAAGTGATCATCTGTATCCCTCAGGTCCCACCTTTGTTAAAAAAACAAAACAAACAACCTCAAAAGCTGTGATCCAATATGTAGGTGGAGGCATAGTAATGGCCAATAAATGAAAGTAGTGTAATCAAGAAATACTCAGCACTCGTACTGGAATTAGGGAAGACTTTTAAATGAGAAATGAATCTGTGACACCTGGCTTGTGACGCTGTGGGACATCTGAGTAGACTGGCTCAGTCTGACTGCTGTGGAAGCAGGAAAACAGAACAATTCAACTACTGATCTTTCCTTAAAGACAAAGGTTCATTATCTCATACAATGAGGAGAATCATCCCTGATAGACTGGGTTACTAGAGCCATTGGAAATACCTGGTCACCTTATCTGAGGCACCCATAAATACCAGTGTCTAGAGCACCACAGACAGCCACGGGCACTACCAAGGGACCCTGGAACAACATAGGCTGTGTTTGAACCCCAGTTCATTAGGAAAATAAACAGAACTATGTTCACAGAGGATCACAGAGGACTTAAAGAAACAGGTTAATTCTTCAGGGACCTGGAGACTCGTATGTAGCTTTAGTGGAAAGGCTTTGATAGAGCTAATTGACTTAAGCTGACAGGTAAATGACGCCCAAAAAGTGAGAGAGCCACCTAAAAAACAAGAAAAATGTAGAGCAGAGGAAGAAGTGTGTCTAGTTACTCAAAAACAGATGGAGCAAGATTCGTTTTGAGTCAGGTTTCTGGACCTCCAAGTTGTGTAAAAAAAATCTCCAAAGGTAAATGCCCAAATATCAGCTGAACTTAAAAAAAACAAAGGGCTGGGCGTTGGTGGCACATGCCTTTAATCCCAGCACTTGGGAGGCAGAGGCAGGCCTGGTCTCCAGAGCAAGTGCCAGGATAGGCTCCAAAGTTACACAGAGAAACCCTGTCTCAGAAAAAACAAACAAACAAACAAACAAAACAAAACAAAAATAAAGGAAGAGAGAGAAAGAAAGAAAGAAAGAAAGAAAGAAAGAAAGAAAGAAAGAAAGAATCCTGCACATCATATCAGGACACTGCACTAAAGTAGAAACAGGAAGACTAATCTGAAGACTCAAAGTGGACAACTAATTGGTGACTAAATAATATATATCTTTAAATGAACAGTGGCTCAGTGAATGAATCCAAGAGGAAGACAGTTCTAAGAAGAAAAGTTACACTAAGATTTTTAATTGAATATAAGAGAGGGCTCAAATAAATAGCCTAATGATGTACCTCAAAGCTGAAAAAAAGAAGCCAAACCCAAATACAGAAGTTGACATAAAGTATAAACAATACATACTAAAAATAATAAAAATGAAGACTAAAATTCATGAACTGGAAACCTTAAGAACAGTATAGTAAACAAATAGCAGATTATCTCATAAGATAGACAAGATTCTGTAACTCCCAGTGAAGCAATCAGAGATAGACGGGGTGATGGTGGAGGAAGGTGAATAAATGGAGGGGAAAAGGAAGGAAGGAAGACGGAGACCTAAATTAATGGAAGACAAAAGGGAGTTGTTACAACAGACTCCAATGGAATACAGCAAACCATCATTGAAGCTTTTGTAAACTTATTTTCCAAAAAATTTAGAACTGTTAGAATGAACATATACTTATAAATATATACAGCTGAGTGAACATAAAGCCAGAAGATATAAATACCCTAACCAGTCCTATAACAACAAAGATACTGAAGCAGTCACTAAGTCTGACCATAAAATCCAGGACCAGATAGATTTACTGCAAAATTCTACCAAGCTTTAAAGATCAAATGACACAACTCAAATTCTTTCATAAAATAGAAACAGATGAAACTACCAAGAAAAACCGAAAGGAAACAACCAAGAAACAGAACTACCAAGCTAATTCTAATGAGTCGGCATAACCATAACAAAACACACACACACACACACACACCAATACCATAGCACACCATTATCTATAATAAATGTTTAGATACTCCCCCACAAAAAAACAAAACCCTAAAACCTAGACACTTCTCAAAGAATTTCACACTTACATTATAAATCACAACTAATAGGTTGGCTCAACATAGGTAAATCAACATATAATGCAGCATATTAAAAGACAGAAATCACATGAGCCTTTCAATAGGAAAGGCACCTCATGAATTGCAAAACACGTTGAAGAAGAAACTAGGAATAAATGGAACGTCTCTCAACATAATAAAGGCAATGAATATCAAGTGAATGGCCAACCTATAGTAAGTAGAGGAAAAACAATGAAAACAGTCCCTGGAAAAGCTGATATGAGACAAGGGTTACTATCTGTATTCTGATTGAATAGTGTGCTCTAACTGTTAACTAGAGTGTTAAGAAACTATAGAGAGAAAAGGACAAAAATTTGATCTGAAGTTAAACTATTGCTGTATTTAGATGACATGTTTCTTTATTTAAAAGACCTCATATACATCGCCAAAAACTTATGAATGTGACACTTCCCCCCAAATAGCAGCTTATAAAGTTAACATACAAAAATCATTAGCCTTTATATACACAACTAACAGACTTTCTGAGAAAGAAATTGTAGAAAACAATGCCCATTTATAATGGGAGAAGAAAGAAAGAAGAGGAAAAGGAGAAGCAGGAAATGAGAAGGAGGGGGAAATATTTATAGGGGTAACATTAACGAAGGTGGTGAAAGATTTCTTTCTGTTTTGTTTCTGAGACAAGCTGTCACTATGTAGCCCTGGCAAGTCTGGAAGTACTATTAGCAAAAATTTAAAACATGCAAACAGTTTCCAGAGAAGAATTAGATGACAGAAAGATACCACAATCTCATGGATTGACAGAGCTCACTCTAAAGACTGGCAATACTGATAAAAGCTATCTGCACACCCAATGAAATCCAGGGCAAAATTCCAGTGACATTGGACACAGAGCTAGGAAAAAAAAAAAACTCATTTGGGAACACAGAAGACCCCAGACAACACAATTTATACAGAAAGAATAGTCAGATGTATCACATTACTTAACCTCAAACTATACAACACAGACATAGTGAAAGGGGCTGCAAAGTACTAATACAAAATGAAACAGAACACAATTACTAAAACAAAACAAAAAACACACCCATATAGACCAATGTAATGGCAACAAACTTAAAAAAAAATACATAAATGTCAAAACCATGTAGTATAACAGCCTTTTTAACAATTAGAGGTGGCCAAAGTAGATAGGCAGCGATAGATCTGTATATTTCATCCCATAGAAAAATCAATTTGAACTTGATGAGAAAATATTAAAAATCCAGAACAGTGCTAGGTAATGGTGGCACAGTCTTTAATCCCAGTCTTTGGAGGCAGACACACGTGGATTTTTGTGAGATAGAGGCCAGCCTGGTCTAGAGAGTGAATTCTAGGATAGCCAGGGCTACGCAGAGAAATCCTGTCTGAGAATCAAAAATTTAAGCAAGAAAGTGTTACAAACACTAATACCACATTTGCACCAACATGAATACCACATGTGGTACCAAAACTCTGCAGGAAAAGAAAAATATCATGGTAAATTTTTAGTTACTACATCTGTGGATTGTGTGTATAAGTAATGAAACAGTTTTTGGGAAAGAATGAGGTAATCAGACAGGGACAAAGAAGACAATAGGGAAACAGGAGCAAAAGATTACGGTGTATAGCATTAAATAACAAACTGCTAGTTTTCTTTGGTTTGCAGTCTTATTTTTTTTTTCTCTTGCTGTGATAAAATACCCTTACATGAGTAATGTCAGAAGGAACAGTTTAATATTGCTTATGGTACAATGGCAATGTTTTTATTAGTTACTTTTCTGTCATGATTAAACACTATGACCAATGCAACTTATGGAGGAATGACTTTACTTTATGGTTCAGAAGGGACCAAAGTCCATGATAGAGGGAGGGCATGGCAAGAAGCCGCATGGTGGCTGAAGCAGGAAGCTGAGAGTTCACATCTCAAAGGCAAGCAGGAAGCAGAGAGAGAGCAAACTGGAGGTAGAGGGAGCTTTTGATTCTCAAAGTTCACCTCTAGTGACCTACTCCAAATCCTCCCCAAATAGGGAACAAATGTTCAAACGCCTAAGACTACAGGGTACATTTCTCATTCTAACCACGGCATTGGGAATCATGGGGAGAAAGTTTGGGCAGCAGTAGCGGAAGCAGCTGCTATTGTCGCCTCAACAGTCAGGAAGCAGAGGAAGACAGATGCATGGTTATTCTCAGTTCACTTTCCCCTTTCATACAATCCAGAATCCTGGTCCAAAAAGGTGGTTTCTCCCATAGCCAACATGTCTGACCACATCCTAATAAACAAACACCCCGAACTTTGCCAAGACTGAGCAGAGTCAGGGATGAATGAATTAAAAAGGATTTTCCAAATTCTTCACACGGGTAAAGTTTCTCTCCAGAATAAACACTCCCTTAGACAAAGTTCAAGGTACCACACACTACCTTGTCACATACTTCACACTTGAAGGGATTCTCTTGAGAATGAGCCCTTTGATGTTTCTTAAAGTTTGAAGTACAATAAAACATTTTGCCACATCCTTCACATCTGTAGGATTTCTCTATAGTAGGAAGGACCTTGTGTTTAATGACACCTTAAAGATTAATAAAGGTAAGGTTTCTCTTCAGAATTAAGTTTTTTGGTGTTGTAAAAAGCCTGAAGTAATGTTTTGACACATTATTTACATCTGTGGAGTTTCTCTCCAGCGTGAATTTACTGATATTTAGTAAGTCTTCAGCAAGTATAAAATACCTCGCCACATTCTTCCCATTTGTATGGTTTCTCTTCACTATGGAGTAATTTGTGTAGAGTAAGGTATGAATGAGTAGAAAAGCCTTTTCCACATTCTTCACACTTGTAAGGTTTCTCTCCAGTATGAATTCTCTGGTGTTTAGAACGTCCTGAGCGAGTACAAAAGACTTTCCCACACACATCACACTTGTAGGGATTTTGAGAATGAATTCTTTGATGTTCCTTAAGGAGCGAAGGGTAGCTATATGATTTCCCACATTCTTCACACTTGTAGGGTTTCTCTCCAGAATGACCAAGTCTATGCCGCATAAGGTATGAGTGAGTAGAAAAAGCTTTTCCACATTCCTCACAATTGTAGAGCTTCACTTCAGCATGAATCCTTTGGTGTTTAGAAAGTTCTGAGCGAGTTCTAAACATACTGCCACATATTTCACAGCTGTAGGGCTTCACCCCAGAATGAATTCTTTGATGTTCCTTCAGGATGGAAGGATAACAAAATGTTTTGCCACATTCTTCACATTTGTATGGTTTCTCTCTAGAGTGGCCTAATTTGTGCCGAATGAGGTATGAATGAGTAGAAAAGGCTTTTCCACATTCCTCACAACTGTAGAGCTTCACTTCTGCGTGAATTCTCTGGTGCTTTGAAAGGTCCGAGCTAGTTCTAAACATGCTGCCACATGCTTCACACTTGAAGGGTTTCACCCCAGAGTGAATAATTTGATGTCCCTTCAGGTTTGAACGATAGTAAAATGTTTTCCCACATTCTTCACACTGGTAAGGTTTCTCTCCAGTATGAATTCTTTGGTGTTGGTGAAAGTATGTAGATCTCCGGAAGGCTTTGCCACATTCTTCACAACGGTACGGTTTCTCTCCAGAATGAATTCTTTGATGTTGCTTTAGGGTTGAGGGATATGAAAAGGCTTTACCACATTCTTCACACCTGTAAGGATTTTCTGCAGAATGAATTCTTTGATGTTGCTTAAGGAATGAAGGTAAATAAAATGCTTTGCCACACTCTTCACACTTACAGAGATTCTCTGCAGAATGAGTTCTTTGATGTTGCTTAAGTAACGAAGGGAAATAAAATGCTTTTGCACATTCCTCACACTTGTAGGGTTTTTCTCCAGAATGAATTTTCTTGTGTATATAAAGTGCTGAGCGAGTACTAAAGGCCTTGCCACACTCCTCACACTTGTAGGGTTTCTCTCCCGTATGAATTCTCTGGTGTATAGAAAGTGCTGAGTGAGCACTAAAGACCTTGCCACATTCTTCACATTTGTAGGGTTTCTCCACAGGATGAATTCTCTGGTGTTGAAGAAGGAGTGAGTTCCAATCAAAGGCCTTGTCAAATTCTTGACATTTATAGGGTGTTCCCCCTAGTGAGTAAAGGTTGAGATATGAATAAAATCCAAGTAACATTCTTTATATTTGTAGTGCTTATCTTTAATATGGAGACTGTTACTCATGCTTATTTTATAGGCAAATGAGAAACTATAATATACATTTCCAACCCTATATTCACTGTAATGAAATTCAGAAAATACTGTAGATGGAAACAATATACACTTCTACTGAAAAGATGAAGGCGACAAAGAATATTGAAATATTGAAGCCATTATCCAAAGTTAAATGGCTAAGGAAGTTGTACCATCAATAATAATAAAAACTTCTTAAGGGATTATACTAAGAGAAATAATTCCACTAGACAAAGTGTTTGACAAGACCAAAAAAAATTAATGTGTCTATATTGGGTAATTTTCTGTTGCTATGATAAAAGTACCATGGCCAAGGCAGTTTACAGATGGAAGACTTAACTTGGGCTTATGGTTCTGGAACAATACAAGTCCATCATGGGGGACTGGATGAAAGCAAACAGCAGGCATGGTGGCTGGAGCAGAATCCGTGGCTCATGGTGTGCTCAAACCATGAAGCAGAAGAACAAGCCTACAGTAGAGAGAGGCTTTTCACTCTGAAAGGATTTTACCATGACTCCCAGTCATGTATTGCATCCAGCAAGGCTACACCACCAACTAGGGACCAGGGATTCAAAGATAAGAATCCATGGGGAGACAGTCTCATTCAACCATGGCAGCCAAACTTGAGTATTTGTGTGTTAATATTGTCTTCAATTGAATGGCTGTAGAAACAGTTTTTGTTTTTTCTTAAGAACAGAGTTTTAGTTTCAGAAGTTTGAAAAGATTTGTTTCCTAAGAAGTTTACTATCTATAACACTGTGAAATAATAGAGTTTAAGAGCTAAGATTGTATTTTATGTTACATTTGCCTAACCAGGAAATAAATTCCTGATACAGAATTGTGAAAAACTTTGAAGTTTGTGTTTAAATGACAGACTTTTGCTAGAGGCAACATTGCGTCAATGAGTATTTCTTAAAGCTAGACAATTTGTACTCATTTAGGAGATAAAACAACTGAATAACAATGTCCAAGACATGAAAACACAAGACTCGTATTTGCCCATGAAGTGGAAGTATACAATACTGATATTCACAGGACTAATGCTCACATATTTACACTGTCTTCAGGCGCTTAGCATTGGGCAACCCACTTACAAAAATATATAGGCTGCCTGTGAAGAAATAATTTAAGGGAACTTAGAGTACAAAATAGGAACACAGAAAACAGAACTGAAAATGAGAAAAAGATTAGTGAGTCCACAAAGTTCTGAAAACCTACTATGGTCATTAAAAATATGCTTCTAGATGTGCAGTTTTTATTTAGGATGCTATACTCACAAAGGGGATGCATTTTAATTTGACACTGAGTTATGTTATAGGAAGAAATCATTAGAATACAGCACAGTCGTTCACAGCTTGATGAGAAGTTTGTAATTTACAAGGATATACATGACACGGAAGAAATTCATGTTTAAAGTTACTGCACTTAACAGGTCTTTGGAAATGTGTGGGAATTTTCAGAGGGTTGGAAGACAGAAAAAAGTCAGTTACGATATAAACTCAGCAAAATTAAGGACTCTGACTCACTATAAATACAAGTAGTGCTCACTGGAGGGGAAGACCAAAGCGTAGAGACTTAAACTACCATAGACATCTGGCAGATGCCCTTCTGAGATAGCAAAAGACAGAAGGAGATCCTTCAAAAAAGATTCCACCAATGCTTAGGATAAAGCCTGGATTTTGTTGGACATCTGACCTCCCACTCTGTCCTCTGTCCCCCTCATTCCTACGTACCTGGGTGCATAGCCGTAGCTGCTTGTCTCTTCACATCTGAAGGCCCTTGTCTTTGCTCTAGAAATGTGACCAGGTATGGCTTACAGGAGGCAAGACCTGTTTATGGGAAAAGGGAACATCACTGTTAGTGTTTTCTACTGGGAATTAGCATACTATTCCATTATTAAGCTTACACGAAGAGATTAAAGAATTGCAGAAAATTAGTTTATTAAATGCTTCCTGAGAAACATATACAGAATATGTAGGAATAATTTATAATCGGATGATCCTTAGCTTCAATTACGAAGTACATATGAAATCTGAAGGGTGGAACATTCTCTTCAACATGTGTGCTCCATGCCTCACAATACTGAGTTTACAGAAATACAACCAGAATGAAGGAAGCATATTAAAAAACAAAAACAATAAAAAGCCACATTAAAAACACAAGAAGAAATATAATATTTCTAAGACTATCAGCAATTCCCCTAATTTTTCCATTAAAGCAGGTATTCAAAAGTTACTGCTGGAAGGCACAAATTCCCTTGGGTTATTCTACAAGGGGAGGAAGTCACAGATTGGTGAAATAAGAATTCACTTAAGGATGCAGTCCTCACCAAGGAACACGAGGTTGCTGTAATTCTCCAACATCACATCCCTGTACAGATTCCACTGAGCAAGGTCCAGGCATTCCCATTCTTCTGCGGAAAAATCAATGGCCACATCCCTGAATGACAGCATTTCCTGAAATGAAAATAAATGATTACTATATGTATTAAAACCATAATAATAATACAAAACACCACCATCTTATGCTTATGAGTACAATTCTAAATTTTGCTCAGGATAAGACAAAAGGTAGAAGTGCTTCACACACAGGTAAGTAACTGCTGTGGAATAATCCTTTTGTACACTGTGAAGAATTGCCACTTGGATTGGATTAATAAAAAGCTGAATGGCCGATAGCTAGGTAGGATTTTCGCTGGGAAGAAGGGCAGAGTTTCACGAGTCTTGAGCCAAACTTGGAAGAAGCATCATGGGAAGAAGTTCATAGATGAAGTGAGTAAGTCTTGGGTAGCACATAGATTAATAGAAAAGTGTGAATTTACATTATAAGAGCTGGCTGGAGACAAGCCTAAGCTATCAGACAAGCATTTATAATTCAAGTCTCAGACTGGTTATTTGGGAGAGGCAGCTGGACATGGAGAAACTCTGCCTACAAGTAACAGTCCTATGAGCTGTCTGATATGGTCATAGGATCTTATCTTTGGTCATATAATGGTCACCCTTGACCAATCTTCTAGCAAACAAAATGCAAAGATCCTATTATCTCATGTGGATATTTGACTTTTAACAAATATAAAATGGAAATAAATGCATTCACAGGAACATGTTACATTTGTCTTGTGCATGTTTTATAACCACACATGTATACATTTCTCCCAGGAAAGTCATGGTGAGGGAGAAGATACTTATCAATCATGAATATGAAATGCAAGGAAAACGAAGATTCTGACGGGGCAGCTCTGGGAGAGGTCTGGGTTATTGAATTTGTAGAGAGTTCAATAGTGATGCTAAAGCCAGGACATCAAGAAGACATGGGATGGAACAGCCATGAGGCAAAGCAGTAAAGGACAAACTCACAGACAAAATGGAATCACATGTATTTCAAAAAATTACAAATTAGTCAGCTTAGTGATTGAAAACACACTAGACAACACTCTAACTTGTCTCGCCTCCCCTTTCCTCTTTTTTTGCTTTCCTTTTTCAGAGAGTGTTTGTATATTTGATGTAACCCTACAACAGGCTTTGAGTTCATGATAGCTATGCCTTGGTAACTGGAGGTCAAGAATTATAATTTGTTATGCTATTTGCTATTTTCTCTTATGTTAAAATTTCCTCACTTCTGTGTTTTTTTCTTATCACATAGAATCCTTAAAATGATCTATGAGAGCAATGATAACCTTTTTTTTCTTTCTATGATTAAATATCAAAAACATGAGAACTGTTGATTTTAATTTTGTAGTAATTGTTACAGGTGTATTTTGCATAGTCTTCAAACCAGTTTCAGATGCTCATCTGGTCAAACACTTTTTTTTTCTTCTACTTACAATGTTTCCCAAGCATCTGAAATATACTTTACTTACAACCACTACTCTGGGCTACAGCTCCATAAGCATCTTCCTCCTATTTAACTTCACACAAGCATTCATTCACGAGTGGCTGCTTAGGCCTCTCTTTCTCCTGCTACTGAATGACATAAATGTGTCACACAGCAATCACTAATTTTTGTTTTTATTCAACACAGTTTGCAATACTATGACTCAGAGTATATAACTGGAACCCTGAAAAAAGACAGGGGAGACCAAATGGCATATCTTTATTAGAAACACTGACTGTAAATTTATTTAGACTATGACTTCTAATATCAATGACAGATGCCTCAGTGTGACTGATGTTTAAAATACCCAGTATACTGTTATTGCATGTTCCTAATGAAATATCAAGTGCAGTCTATCCTGTAAACAGTTGTGGTTCATACCCTCATCCATATGATTTTTATGTACTTAACTCAAAGGGCACAATTACAGTCTTTGAAGGAGTCTAGACAAACACACATAATTTCTCAACTCACAATACAGTACTGCATTTGAAAACAACTATGGAGGGGCTCACTGACAGAAACATTTACAACGGAAATGGAGAAAATGATGAAAACCTGTACTTCTCATTCTTATTCTTTGTATATATGTTTTTGACTGACTCCTATTTAAATCTTTCTAGACACCTTCTATTGCTTCTTTCTATGGCCTCTGACACATGTCCCAGAGATCTAACTGAATGTTATCACCCAGCATAATTTTGCTTCATGCCTAAAATAACAAAGTTACTACTTGAGTTGGGGGGGGGAAGCAATTCTTTCCCTCAGGTGGGTGGTCACTCACAACATTAAGAACAAAAATAAACAGTCTAAGTTAAGGGATAGGGAAAGGACAGCATGAGATATTGGAGGGAAAAAAAATCTCACATTAGCAGTTTGGTTTCCTGTCTGGCTGTGGCAATAACGTGTGAAGGACAGTGGAAGTTGTAGTTGTCATTTCCACAAGCTGAACTGGAGATCTGTTCCGGCTAAATGTAATGAGGCATTCCATACACAACTAACCCTGTGGTGTGTAAAGACTGGGGCAGGATCCAAGTAACACAGAAAGAAGACTGCCAACCATGGAGAGCTGCATCAGCCAGAGTTGAAGAGAGAAATGGGAAATGATTGAAACTTCCCATTAGATGTTTAAGGAGCTCAGATGGGAATAGTTCAGGGAAAAGCAGAAGAGAACACCATGAGATGCTCACATAAACTAAAACAAATTAACAATCAAAGATAATTAACATCCCCTGCAAATATGGACGGATATTTAAGCAAAGCAAGAACAAAATTCTCCCTCACAAAGTAAATACAATAATCTAATCACCAAAATTAAGTGGCTCTAACTAAAGCATGTTTTTTGGAGAATTTTAAATTACACCTCAAATACAGCCAAGAGCGTCTCAAGTATACACTTTGAAAGTCAGTGTCAATTAGACAGATTTCTATCAGTTAAATGGGGCTAGGCCAAGTGACTGGAGCCATAAGTAGTTAGTACATCCATAAACTATGTTAAAAAAAAAACCTTTGTTTTTCTGACACATAATCTCATTTAGCATAAATTGATCTTGGATAATCTATGATATGAAGGAGGACCCTGAACTCCTAATTCCCTGACTTCAGTTCACAATACAGGGATGACCAGGATGCACCAAGAGCAGGTTTCAGTTTTTTTTTGTTTGCTTGTTTGGTTTTTTGTTTTCATTCACAGGTGTGTTTAAGTTATACACACCGGAAAGGTCTTAAGTTGGTGAGCGCATAGTGCTGCATCATCCCTACCTTGTAGGAAACCAGTTTTGATGCACACGGCAGTGTACTCTTCCCATTTTAAATAATGTAAAACACAATGCTATTCTTGTCCTGGGGGCTAGTGATGTTAACTAAAAGTGTCTGTATTTTACTCATAGTTACATAGTCAACAGAAATATTAGTATTGAATATAAAATGGGTTTTAAAGTCCATGCTGCTTTTTACTAGACTTTAATGCCACACAAACACTTGGTTTGACTTAAAGTGTTGTGAACTATGAAACTATACAAAAGATAGGCTGGGGAGTCTACCACAAATCAAAGAACAGGGAGTGAGCAATGGCTCTTCAAATTCACCTTTCAATCTTTCTGACCCTGTATAAATACTTGGGCAAATGTTTCCAGAAGACTGTTTGGGGAGCATCAGGGAGCCTGGATGACACATTCGGGGGGGGGGGGACAGTGACAGGGTAGCTTCAAGGCAGTTTAGAGCCTGCAGCGTACCCTGATATAGAAGAAAAGCTCATGACTAAAGAGCAACGTAAAGACTCTGTTAGGTATGCAGGTTCACGTCTCTTCCCCAGAGACGCTCAAGTCCCCTCCCTGAAGTCACTAGGTCTACTTCTACCCTCCTATCAACTCATCATTTGTTTCTGAAAAGTAGCTCAAACTTCTGACATCACACAATCCTTGACATAATTGGATGAGGTACTATTTTCTACTATTTTCCACTCTGAGATATAGGATCCGTGATCGCTAGAACGACGCGAAGCTCAAACCTTCCCCTTTAGGACACTGTACAGTCTCTAGACAGGAGTGTTAAGTCTCAGACTTGCGATCACAGTGGCGGTCACCAAGGCCCCCCCCCTTCAAAACAACAGCCCAAAAATCTCATCATTTATTTATTCCAAAGAAAATGAGACCAACATCCCACACATCCATCTTCTGAAGAGAACTCAGTCCCTGGAAACTTGTATCAACTCGAACCCAGAGTACTAGGCCGGCCATAAAGTCCAGCAGGGTCCAGATCTCCACTTGTTCCAGAAGTCCTGAGACACCTGCCAGCAGCCAAATGAGCGTGGGTCGGCTAGGGAGAGCACGTTTCCCCCGGGCAGGCTGCAAGTGGGCTCCTGTAACACCTCAGGTGCAGGCAGTGCGCTGGGCAACCCCGCCGGGGGCAATACTGCCCCTTGCACCATTGCACACTCCGGGCTGCAGGGCCAGCCTTGCACACTCCGGGCTGCAGGGCCACCATTGCACACTCCGGGCTGCAGGGCCAGCTGCCCGACCCCAGAGGCGCACCCTGGACTCTGACAGGCGCGTCCTTTGAACAAAGCTTCCCCTCGCAGCTCCACCCCCACCCCACTCTCCCTCCCCAGCCCAGAAACAAATTCAGGTTCAGTGGCCCAGCCCAGGTCAGCACAGCATCTCCAGGTCCACTTCCCTCCCCGCCTCTGGCCCAGCCCAGGCCCGCCCTGTCCCGGGAGTCCCCCGCCCCCCGCACAGAGCCTGGGGCTGCGCTGCACTCGGCACTAACCTCCATGTCAGAGATCCGACCGAGGGCGAGGGAGCAGGACTCGACACCAGCTAACTTAGGAAAGGACGGACGTCTGCAGACGGGATGCGGAAGTGCGGTCCGCAAAGCGACCCGAACGCTCGTGACGTCACAATGAAGCGGACTACATTTCCCAGAATCCCGTGTTGTGCTTCTGTCTACGGAGGAGGATGGAGAGAAACCAGGCGAGTCTGCACCGACTGCAGGCATTCAGGGTTGCTTTTAAAGTCCGGTTGCAAACAAGACCCGTTCGATAGTCAGTCGATCGCGGGGAAGTTTAGTAGTTACGTCGGATCACACTGCCGCTTAAAAAGTCGCCTACTGGTTATGAAACCGTACCGCCCCGCACGGAAACGTGGCATTCGCTTCGTTGAGCGTCTTCAAATTAACGCAGCAAGAGGCTGAAGTGGGAGGGCTATCCCTTGAAGATGATTTTGGAAACCAGTCTTGGTGTCCACGCCTTTCTTCCGGTTTGACATGAAAGAATTATAAATCCAAGGGGCCCTGGGCAGTTTATAGAGGCCTTGTCTCAAAAATGCAAAGTACCCAGAGGAATGGGGAGCTCTCTTGGGGGTAAAGTAAATGCTTAAAATAAAGGAAGCCTTGGCTTAATACCCAACATCTGTAAATAATACAACAGGTAAATATCCCGTGTCCCCCTGTGTTGACAAACCTTGTGAACCATACAAACATCAGATTCCACAGCTGCAAAGAAAAATAGTTGTCCTACGCACACTGGAATCCATACCGTGAAGGGAGGTAAGTCAGGGACATAGGCGAGAAAGAAAGAAAGAAAGAAAGAAAGAAAGGAAGGAAGGAAGGAAGGAAGGAAGGAAGGAAGGAAGGAAGAAGTCACTGAACAAAGTTAAAAGTCTTTCCCTGACATTTACATGTAAAGAATGCCCAGAATCCATCTGAGGATCTTTGCATCTGTCCATAGGACCGTCGTCTATACTTTCGTCCATTAATTTAATCTTATGAGAACTGTAACTTCACCCATTTCAGAACTTCACCCACTTCCTGGTTGACCACAAACTCAGGGAAGTATTCACCAGCAGGTGTCTCCTGCACCTGTGGGCACCTCCTCAGCTCCTCTCCCAAGTAGGAAGACACAGTTCATGGTATCACAGTGGTGTGTGTACTGATGCCACACCTGGCCGGTCATCCATTGTGCAATTTCTCTCTGCGTTAGGCACCGAGATTTCTGGTTCGTTTTCTTCTGTCTTCTGTCATGAGATATTTCTACACTGTGTGAAGGTGTACTGCTGTGATTGCTGCAATAAAGAAGCTAAATGGCCAATAGCTAGGTAGGAGGTATAGGTGGGACTTCTGAGCAGAGAGAGGAAGTGTGGGGTTAGATTATTGAAGCCCAGGGAGATGCTAACAAGACATGGAGGGAGTTGGGCATACAGAACGAAGAAAAGGTAAACAGCCGTGAGGCAAAATGCAGATTAATATGAATGGGTTAATATTAGTTAGGACAGCTAGTGGGACAAGCCTAAGCTTAGGCACAGCTTTCATAATTAATGGTAAGTCTCCATGTCTTTATTTGTGAGCTGGCAGCCCAAAGCAAAGTTCAACTACATTCTTCTCTGATTCTGGAATTGTTTTTGTCTGGCAGAATTTTGAAAGTCAGAAATACAATCAGGGAACATTAGGTTTGCTTATTGGAATGCAGAAGGTAGATTGTCACCTTGGAGTAATGAGGTCACTCTCTTGTCTCAGGAATGTTTATTCCTGTACTCATCATGCCTTAGAGCAAAGTGTAAACCTCTAGTTTAAGAAGCTCACAAGGAAGCTACTTTTGAGTTGACACAGTAGCTCTCACTGCTGTAATTTTTTTGTTTCATTTCTGTAAGGAACTCATGTACTCTTTCCTGTTTTGTCTTTCTCCTGGCAATGTTTAAGCATGAGTATATAAGTATATATTTACTTCCCTGAATGCTAGCATTTGTATAGTATTAGGCAAGTGGAGAATGAAGAACCTAGTCTGTATGGTAAATATGAAGACAATTCTTATAAGAGGGTTTAGTTAGGGTGGGCATTGGCATTTAATCCCAGCACCGGGAGGCAGAGGCAGGCAGTTCTCTGTGGGTTTGAGACCAGCCAGGTCTACGGAGTGAGTTCCAGGACAGCCTCCAAAGCCACAGAGAAACCCTGTCTCAAAAAATAAAAAAAGAGCCATGAGCCATGTTGCATCATGCAAATTAGCAGGAATGTGTTAATTTAAGTTATAAGAACTAGTTAGAAACAAGCCTAACTTATCTGCTGAGCTTTCATAATTAATGATAAGTCTCTGTGTCATTATTAGGGAGACAATAGTCCTGATGAAAAGATCTGTCTACCATCTCCAGTAATGATGGAGGGAGCAATGGATGCATCTGTTCAGCTCCCTTTCTATTCTTAATCCAGTTCAGGTTCCACTGCATATTATGGTTTCTCTAGGACTTTGTTTTCTATAGCTGAGATAAACACCATGAGCAAATGAGAGAAAAGGTCTATTTCATCTTACCACTCCCAGGTGACAGCCAGTAACTGAGGGAAATCAGAACACAAGCTCAGGTTGGGAATCTGGAGGCAGGAACTAAAGCAGAAACATAACGGAATGCTGCTTCCTGCCTTGCTCTCCAGGATCATGCTCACGTGCTTTTCTTACACCTCCCGCAATGACTTAGCTAGGCTTGGTAACACTCAAATTAGCTTGCCTACAAGCTAATCTGACAGGGACATTCTCTCTGTTGAGTGTTTCGTGAGGTAAGATTTTTCTTTGGGCTGTCAGCTCACAAAAAATAACACAGAGACTTCTTATTAATTGTGAAAGCTCAGCTTATAGCTTAGGCTTGCTACTAACTAGCACTTATAACTTAAATTAACCTATTTATGTTAATCTATATTCTATCATGTGGTATTACCTCTCTTCCATCTTGTACTTCCTGTTTCCTCTCCATGTCCCTGGCATCTTCTGGGTGCTTGGATTCCTCCTCCTCTTCCTTTCTCTTCATGGAAATCCTGCATATATCGCCTGCTTAGCTATTGGCCATTCAGCTTTTTATTACACCAGTTTTATCTGAGAAACTGTTGTGGGATATATGCACCTTCACACGGTGTAAAAAATATCCCACAACAGTTTCTCAGATAAAACTCCTATCAAGCTGTGAAAACGAAAACTAGCACTGTGCCACCCACATTTACAGAGTCTTCTTGACTCAGTAACGGACTCTAAAAACTCTGTCTAGTCATTGTCAGAAATGTGATTCTAGTTCTCATCAACTGAGCAGCCATGCATTCTGGGCTATTTAGTTTGAAAGTCACCCTAAAGCAGGGATGGTCACATCAGCTGTAGGTGTCCTGGCAGCTAGTCCTGGTAACACTCCTTATATTTGTTAGAGTACCCCAACCTAGAAATGGCCTTTGCATGTTCCCAATGGACAGAAATGTGCAGAATTCTACAAACTTCATTCCCAAGCATGCCCACTGAGCAAATCAATTTAAGTACCGAATGTTCACTTACCATTCCAAGGTTTGAGTGTACCTTTTCTGAAACCAGTCCAGTGTAAGATGCTTACTATTCCTTCCTAATTTTGTTGTTTTGAATATAAAAATGTTATTTGTCAGTGTCCACGACTGTATGTGGACGTGGGCATGCAACAATGCATCTGTGGAAGGCAAAGGACATCCTTGTGGGGTCAATCATCTCCTCCCACCTTTCTGTGCGGTCCCTTTTCCAAACCTATGCTTTAAGGCATATTTAGCCAGCACCTTTTCCTACTGAGCCATCCACTGTCCCTCAGTATTTTGTTTTCAATCTTCATTTTGTATTTTGTTCATGCTCTTATAAATAGGATGTTTAGTATCAAAATTGCTTCTCACTTTTCATTTCTTCGATAACCCCATGTAGTTTGGTTATTTTAACACTATAGATCATTTTGAGAGTTGATGCAGTGGTTAAACTAATACCCGTTTATCATTCTAGCAGTTTTTGTCCAATGTAAAGAAAATCTATTCATTTTCTCGTGCACAAATAAGAGGTCATCTATAAGCAATGCAGGGTTACACATGTCTCACATAACAAAGTATATTTCAGAAATGTTCCATTTCTTCGTTAATTTTTCCTAACCCTGGGAGTACCGATATCAAGTCCCAGGTGACTCTTTGGATTCCCATGCTGGCTCAGTGTTCTGCTTCATTGTGTTTTACTTCAACGTCTTGCTTTGGAATGACTTGCATCCCTTTCAAACTTTTACAAGAAAATCCCTACTCACTGTGTTTATGTGCCTATGGCACTCTCACGATTACCAATGACAGATTCTATGGGCCCTTAAAAATAACTGGTTCACAGTTAGTTTTCTCACAAGGATTTGTTAAATATTCATTGCGTCCAGTTCCTTTAAAGCAGTGGAAATAGAAGCACGCACTGGAACTGCCCTGTTTTCTGTGCCTGGCACCCTGTCCTGATAGGCAGGAAACAAATTATCCAGTAGGTGCAATGCATCCCCAGTGAAGTGATGACCTGCTGATGCAGTGTATGCAAATGGGGAGCGGTGGGGATGAGTGTCAGAGACTCCCATGCTTGCCTGGCCAGAGTCTTGTAGTTTCTGGAGGTAGCATTTATGCTGAGCATTGACTGAGAAAGTGAAAACTGTAAGGTGGGACTGCTCAACACAAGGGTCTGCTTCTGGGCCATCACTAAAGTAAGGACAGATGTGAATTTTGGATAGGCAGAAGAAGCCCCGGTTGCCAATAAACTTGAGTCTGTTTGAGAAATGGGGAGGATAGAGTGACATGTGGATGGTGGTGGTGGGGGAGTTAAGCAGCTGTTGGCAGAGGCCATTCAAGGAAGTGGGATTATTTTATGAGGGGCATGGATGTCAATGAGAACTTCATTTTTTTTTTTTTACTTGTTTTAGGAGAAATAAGGGAATCAATCAATTGTACTACCTGTCTTTATTTTCTGGCAGCTGAAGAAGACTGTAACTCTATCTTTGATATCAGTATCTTTAATGACCCAGGATGTGCCCAACATTTAGTAGTTTTGTAAGTGAATGAGTTCAAGCTGCCCATAGGTGCTTCTTGTTTTTCATCATAAATGATCTGGTTATTGGCACAGAGAAGACAGGAATCTTGTACTCATGAAGCAGATGAATTCCTCATTTTATAGTTGGGATGAAGATACTGATATGGAATGGTTTAGGTCTGAAGACCACTGAAAACCCTCAACACTAGTGAGACTTTGAATTTCCATTGTGGGCTTCCACACATTTCCAGGACAGTGGTGATTGTAACAATAAGTCTTTCTACCAAGCCGCCTGAGTCCTGCTGCCAAGTGGGCGCTTTCCTTCAGGCCACCCAAGTTCTGCCCGCCGCCACGTTATGGTCCCAAGTA